ATTGTACAGAAAAATGCAAAAACTGACAAAAGTTTTTATGTTCATGACAAGAAAAAGTTTAGTTTAGAAAGTAATAATTCATTTACCTGGACGGTGAAAAAAAAGCATAAAATAGACTATTGAACTTGGGAGTGACATGTGTCTTCACTAACAAAACACTGAATATGGTTGTGATTAAACCTATATAACCAAAATTGTCTAAACATCTGTTGATCACCTATCATTATGTCCTCTTGGGAAAATCAATGCAGTCAAACATGACAAGTCAATCATCACATAGGAAAATCTGGGACAAAGAGGCGCAGATGAGAGAGAGAAATTGAGAGTGAGTGTGCACGTAAAGTCTGAAATAGAAGTCCTGTATTAGTTTTGTCCATGTATGTGTAAGCTTTAAAGACAACATTAAAAAATCCGAACGAAATAGATACAGGGGTGCCTGTAATGTGACTTCACTACATATTATAATACATAATTTTGAGTTTGAAAACATTCTTTGTGGACTTTTGTGGGGGCTGGGAGGAAAGTAAATGAAATAGCAAACGTCAGGGAAAATTTAAAGCGGTTCTATGGAAATATTTCTAAAAACTGGAACATCTGAATCAGACTTAATACATTACATGTTTTCTGCTGCTACTTTTTAACCTCAGAGAATGACAACACTCAAGGTTGTGATCTCTTCCGCCCTGTCCTGCCAATGTAGCCCTCGTCTTTCCCCCCGTCCCGTGTGCACAAGAACCCTTTGTTTTCAACGAGATGAAAGAGACAAAAGCCACTATTGAAAAATATGACTGACTGAGCGAGAAAGTGAAAGAGAGCAAGTTAGACAAGGAAAGGAGTACAGAACGGAACGCTGAAGAAGGTGCTGGTGTTTACTGATGTTTTTGATCTCGAGTAAGCATGCAGTGCCTGACACTGGGGGAATGTGTGTGTCTGTGTGTGTGTTGGGGGGGGCACAGAATAATTCGTTCTGAGGAGTTCTGAGCATCAGGTGACAAAAGAGGTGAAAGAGGAAGAAAGAGCGGGAAAGATGGGGAAGGATAGAAAAGAGGAGGTATGTGAAGTGACAAAAGCTTGGCATTAGTATTCCAGAGGAGGGAATAATCCCTTCCACTCTGTGTCCAGAGTCTAAGGCCATAAAGACACCCCTGCAGCCAGTGCACAGCTCTGAAAAGAGTCCAGCTGAAAGGCTTGGACAACTGTCCACACCACAGCAGCCTCTGTTGCTGGACTGAATGGACCGTCTAAACATTATAGCCAACCATGCCAAGATGGCATCTGGTAAGCCAACTCAAGACAACAGAAAGACAAACTTCATGCAGCCAAACTAGGCCACACAAATGAGCCACTGTTGATTCAACAGCTCTTTATGGTGAAAATGATTAAAGGGCAATCGAATTAGGACAGAATGTTCTCTTTTGCACTGATTTGCATATCAAAAAACTTTGTGAGTGCGTTGTAAGGCTGTCTGCAGATTCTGCACATTTCTGCAGATTACATCTTACTATTGAGATGAAGAGGTAAACACATACATGATTTTAAAAAAGTAACACAATCTAAATATTTTAATTCTTTTATGTCCATTCCTCTAAATGGAGTTTAAGCAATTGTCTTTTAGTAGAAGGACCCCTTTTATGCAAATCAACTTTTTTTCATTTCAAAATGCATAATGTCTGTTTATCAAAAATAAAATAGTGTTTTGCTTTCAGGGTGTTTTGAAAGATGTGGAGGCTGAACTCAAATGGTTGCGACAGTATGAATGATCCAAATACCAGATGCTAGTCCACCTCTTTGTGTCAACTTCTGCAACCTGCTGCTGTCTAAGGGACTGACAAATAAACCCAGTCCAAATAAACAGTCTCATCCATAACAGCCAGTAATAGACAAATTTTATCATTTCACTGGCACAGACTGTACCAGTTAGGCACCTTTTATTGATTGTAAATATGGTATTTGAGAGTGTTACTCTTTGTTAAATTACCAAGAACTCTGTCTGATTGGAAAACCAAGAATATAAATATTAAAGCAACACATTTGAATCGATTTCAGAACTGACTTTTACCATTGAACCACAAATATATGCTCTGATTCAAGCAATATATCTGGCAGTGTAGAGCTATCACCCAACTAGAAGGTAAGGATTGCTCTGTATTTAGCTTCCTCCATCTTCACAGCCACTCTGAAACCCGCCAATAATAAATAAAATAATCCCCACAGCATGATGATGCCATTACCATTCATATCAACTTAGAATAATGTTTAGGGTTTAATGTATCGTAACTTTTCAGCCAGACATTGCCAGTAGGCCAGAAAGTTCTTATCTGAGCAAGCTTTTTATTTGTTATTGAAGAGAATAGTGCAGTTTTTACTATTTCAATGGAAAAACGGTTGGTTTGTAAGCAGAAGTCCCCTCCTCAGATAAAAAAAACAGTTTAACAACTAAAAGACAACAACATAGTAATTTTTTTTCTTTATTCCTAACAATGATCTTTATTTCAAATGTATTCCTTCAATAACAAGAAAGAAATTTAAAAACGCTTCAAATTGTGTTTTCAGCACCTCAAATGTGTGGACAGAGGTAGTATGACAATGTAATACAGTTATTAATAGTATCTAATAAAGTAACACATTTTACCATCTTAATATTCAATAGAGATGTACTTTTTACATAAAAAACTTTTTTCAGCAGAAAACAGACTTTTTAAAATCGTTCCACTTTCTCAGAAGATAGTGATAAAAAAATCCCTCCATTAGTCTATTATAAACTGAAATCACTGACTTTTTACAACAGAAAAATAAGAAAATATTGTTACAATAGATTATATACCACAAGATTTAAGGAATTAATTTTGAACATCGCACAAAATTAATGCTGCAAGGTTCTTCTGCACTGGATGGTTCAGCAATGTGGCAGATCCTTACTTTGTAGTGACTAAACATTTTTGGTCCATTTCTTAACATTTTTTTTTTTTATCTTGCATTTGCTATTTTAACAAAAACGTGGGATTTACCTATTAAAATATAGCTAATTTGCTACTTTACATGTAAAGGTGATTTCAAGTAATTTTCATGAATTTTATTAACCATCCACCAAAATACTTTCTTAGAGTGGAGTTTTGCACACATGTTTGTATTGCTAAATACGAGCCGAAAACTTTGCTATTGAATATCCTCCTCCCAGAATTTTGCTCATTCTGATAATCAGCATATGTTTTCTGTATCACCAAAGGCGAACACACTAAATGGATTGCGCCTTCTATTTTGCTAATTCTACCGATGCAGTTTTGTAGGCACCTAGTTGGTATTTACATGATGTTACTACAAAAAACTTATATAGACCATTCAATTGTTGGTTCTATAAACTACTAAGGTTACGTCTGTAAAAAAAAAATAAAAATAAAAAATTGAGAAGTGTGAATGATACCTTCCTTCCTGTTGTTTTAGTACATAAAAGTCAAATGAAGTATATTCAGGTACATAGTTGTATGTGAAAAAAAATAAGAGGGAAGCAAACACTTGGAGGCCACTTATAATTCCACACCTCGCTTCTTCCCTTTTATGCCATCTTTACATGATTAACATTCTTTATGTGCTTTAGCATTACATGTGCTGTCAACTGCATTATGCATGACATGTCATTGTCAAGCATAGTTTAAATGGACCACTCCAGCAAGACACTTCACATGTACTGTACTCAAATCCCGCTTTGCAATATAAGAATTCCACAAAGTGGTTGTTGCAGATTTTTATACATGTATCTATCGCACTACACTAGTCTCATAACTCTTCTGCAAATTGGCTGGACTCAACAAGCAGTTAAGATGACTTAGTTACCTTAAGCAATCCCAGTATGACATTATTTTAATTATTTTAATAGAAAAAGATATTTCTGAAACAAAGTTTAAAAATTTGGGCCAATTTCATATCCAATGTTACCATGTCTTATATTGCAGATAAACAATATTAAGCATTATTATATTTTTCATCACATATATACATATATATTTTCCTTTAACTTTTCAATATTGGAATAATTACCACACTGTTAATATTGATTCCTGCCAAAGTTAAACAACCCAATGTCCTCTGCTGCATCACTATCACTATGTAAAAATACCAAAGTGATCAGAATGGATTTCAATCTTTCCACCAATGGTGCTTCATGCTTTTTGAAGACTTCTAGATTTACTTAAAGATAAAATTGCCTGAAATTGAACTTTGAAAATCTAAAGCAAAGTTACAGAATATTATCCAATTTTTATTTCTTTTAAAATTGGGGAACAAGAAGTGATGAAAATAGAAATTGCAGCTCTCTATCCATAGTCTGAAACTATCTTTGGTCTGAATAGGCTCGCATCTAAAGATAATACTTCCTTAAACTATCGCTTTCACTTCCCGACCAGGAATCATTGTCTGGAGAGTTACAACACTGGCTGGATTTATGAATGGAGGTCAGCTGTTTGCCAAATATTCAGGAGTGATTTTTCACCACATGGCCACAATCTTTTGGAATCTGCTCTGTCCAATCAGGTACTGGTGCCTCTGTACTGACAAGACATCTTAGGACTGATGGATTTACACAACATTTAAAAGAGTTATCAGCAGAGTGAGTGTTGCCTGATGTATTTATTCTTAAACTAGTTTGTTTTTAACTTTAGATTGATCATTTTAATTGTGAAATCTATTAAAACATCTGAGTAGGATGATAAAGACTGCAAGTGAATTAGGTGCAGCTATGTGAAAACAATTGAACACTTCCACCTTGAATACCCATCTAATATATGCCTCAATGCATCAAATGTAGCAGGTGCGATAAGAACAAGATGCAATGTTAAATATCTAATTTGAGTGAAAATTTAATAAACATTGCTATGTGTATTGCAGTAACTGTTTCATTTTAGCGTATAAAACAACAAAAATATAATGGTTTGATTAAAGAAAAGAAGTTAAAATGACCAAAGAAAAGTGTCATGAAAATATTCCTTCATAAAATCGTTTCTTACCTTTCTGTTGACCTGATGTTTACTCTTAGTGCAGCTTGAACAGTTCTACTGTCCAGCAAACATGTGTAAAAACAGCCTGAGAGCTTGTTTGTAACTTGGTGGGAGAAAAAAAAATAATGCAAAATTTCAGGGTCCTGACCGGGTTGCACTTGTTGATGGTTCGCACATGTTTAACATCACTTTTCCCCGTTGCCTTCCACTATTTCTCTTGCAGAGTCACCCAGTGCATCTAAAAAAAAAAAAAGAAGAAGAAAACTTCTCAAATGAAAACTTCCAACCTGTCAGAGAAGAGGCTTGGATGAAGATTACCCAGCGGTTAGTCAGTGTCTCCCTGCACACTGGCACTGGCACCACCGGTTCCGGCTCACTGTTACTGGATCATTATGTAATCGGATGAGGACAGTTTGCACTTTTTCTTCTTGCTTGTGAAGCAGAGAGAGAGGGAGAGAGCGCACCCTGTGTGTCCACTTGGGGAGACCTTAAAAAAGCCTGCGCTGTCCACTCCTCCAAGGACCCCCCACCGTCACCCCAGGCATACCCTGCTATATAAACTCAAAAAACATTCAGATGGCCACTGTTTCTTGTCATTTTTAATTCATTAATTCAACTCCCCACCCAGCCTCTCCTCCTACCCGCCCTCCCAGCTCTCCCTGACTGTACACAGTAAATGGGGCTCTTTGTTGGACAAGCCTCCTCCGCTGTTTCAGCCTTTGTCAACTTTCTCATGCAAACGTTTGATGGGTCTAAGATACAAGCCTGGAAGTTGTTGCACTGGAACAAAGATATTCACAAATTTAAAAAAAATGAGGGGGGCTGAGCTCCATTCTTGTGTAGTTGACATCCTGCACTTTGCGTTGGACTGAGGGCACTGAATGGGTAATGCGGTCCATCTCTGTGAGGTGGTGCCATGTCCGCCTGCAAGGAAGGGCAGTCGGTAGTGTAAAGCGAGTACAAATGATCTTCCTGTGGATGAAAACAGATGAAAACCAATGTAGAAGTTATTAGTCTTACAAAGTAGTTGCAGAGGCATGTCAAATTAATCAATTTTGTTGCAACAAAATCCTATGGCAAGCAAAAGAACAGTGCGTACTTTACTCATGGCACAGCATACATAGCTGCCATCACTATATATTGAACATTTTCAGTGATATATTTCAGCAGCATAAGCGCTAAACTCCACAACGTCCTCCGACACAAGTTTCTGTCATATCGGACGCATCAGATTCAGTGTTCTGGCCTTTAATACACTCTGGTTTAAGGGGTTAGTTGTGTCAAATAGTATGCCAGATAAATCGTTTAAATGACTGATCTGGTTAGGTGACTTGTTAGGCCATATAAACATGCAATTTTTCATGAAGTATCTATACGCATTAAAAAATATGTGTATCTGTTCCTAGAGACCCTCAGAAATAGTAAGTTAAGCAAACACCTAAGGCCAGAACACACCAGATCTGATTCTGAGTCCAAACCAGTTTGAGGATCGACCAACTGAGATAAACCCCAGGTCTATTTTAGTCAGACTAAGCAGCAATTCAGTGGCAACTTCATCGGTCTGTGAGGAAGACGTGGTTACAAAGTAAACATCAGCTTTGGGGGAAAATACTAAATAAAATCTGTTAATGGCACAAGGAAAGACTCAGTTTTGGAGTCCCACAGAGGATACACATCAATATGTACAGACTTGTGCTAAAACAATGAATGAAACATTGAAAAAAAGAATATTTTATCCATGATAGGAGTTCAGGGCGACAGAAAACAGATAAAGTTTTGATACAATCTAAAATCTAAATAACAAGGGGCAGACAGAGCAGGTAAGTGTATCTCTCTCAACTCTTTCTGCCTCAGTCAGCATATAAACTAACCCACGGCTTTTATTGTTGTGTTTTTCTTTTCTTTAGACGTACACTAACGTTCAAAAGTTTGGGGTCACATTGAAATGTCCTTATTTTTGAAGGAAAAGAACTGTACTATTCGATGAAGATAACTTTAAACTAGTCTTAACTTTAAAGAAATACACTCTATACATTGCTAATGTGGTAAATGACTATTCTAGCTGCAAATGTCTGGTTTTTTGTCCAATATCTACATAGGTGTATAGAGGCCCATTTCCAGCATCTATCACTGCAGTGTTCTAATGATACAATGTGTTTGCTCATTGGCTCAGAAGGCTAATTGATGATTAGAAAACCCTTGTGCAATCATGTTCACACATCTGAAAACAGTTTAGCTCATTACAGAAACTACAAAACTGACCTTCCTTTAAGCAGATTGTGTTTCTGGAGCATCACATTTATGGGGTCAATTAAACGCTCTAATGGCCAGAAAAAGAGAACTTTCATCTGAAACTCGACAGTCTATTCTTGTTCTTAGACATGAAGGCTATTCCATGCAAGAAATTGCTAAGAAATTGAAGATTTCCTACACCGGTGTGTACTACTCCCTTCAGGGGAGATGCGGCACAGACTCGTTAAGTGGGGCTTTGCTTTATAGTTTCGCCAGTGTTTTGAAAAAATGTTTCATAACTTTTCATAATCTGTTTAAGTTAAATGTGGGACATTTTTTAATTTGTGTATTGCATAGAGACAGAAGAACAAATCTGCCTTCACTGCCAAGTCGGAGCCTCTCTTTACGCAATCAGTGTGACATGGAAAAAAATCGGATCAGTGATTAAAAAGTCGTTCACAACCGGTGTGTTCAGGCATTAATGCTTTCGTAACAACTGCAATACTTGAGGGATACATTTCCAGCAGCTTCTTACATCCAGACAATAAAATGTCTGCATATTCTTCTTTATAAAATGTCTCAAGCTTGGGCAGATGGGATGCAGAGTAGGTCTAGAGATATAGTTTTAAGTCTTTCTAAGGATTCTTCATTGAATTCAGGCCTGGAGTTTGACTACCATTCAAACACGTGGGAAGCAATGCTCTTCGTATGAATAAAGCACTGGAGAAACCCCTCCTTCTGCTTTCTGCTGTAATTCTTCAGAAATTACTATGAAACAGTTTCGCTTTTATCTCTCCGTGTCTCCTTTGACATTGAAAGGTAAATGACAAAAATTTTACCAATCTTTATGGCTGACTCATTGTTTGACGCACACTGGAAATTTGTCAGAGTAAAATTTACTCAAACTACAGAATATAATACTCAGACACAGCTAATATTTGGTTCCCTCTTTATTGAGATTTCAGATTATTCTTTTGATAGAGCTGATAGTGGAGAACAAAATTTCCTCATTTCAGATTCACAGTTAATTTGATTAAAGATCACATACTTCAGTGACCCTAAGAGTATTTCAAAATCTCATCTGCTTAGATGAGCACAGAAGTCACAACCAATATGGCAAAGAAAACAAGCCCATTTTACTCAAGTTAAACCATCTATGTTGATTACTTTAAAAATGTCTTCCCTCTGTTTCTAAAATATCCCCATTTTCAAGTTAGAACTGAGAAAAAATAACTCCTACTGAGAAAAATATGTGTGACAATAGAAAAAAGAGCTCAGCCTTTTTCCCATGAGGGCCATCACAAATGTAGAAGAGGGACTTGCTATAAGACTACAGACATAATAGAATATATTTGAAAAATGCTGTTTCGATTATTAGTTTAAAGTCGCACCAAAGAGATGTTCTTGGTGATTGTGGAACGGTAGGGGGTAGACCAAACCATAACCTCACAGGAAGAGAGTAAATACATGCTAAGCTTGGGGTTATTCTGTACTATTGTTTTTACTTTCACTTAGAGAGGAAAAGTTCCCCTTTGTGAATCACAGCTGAGGGGGTAGACAGTAGGTGGGATTTCCATGGTTGTTTCTACCTGGTGTCTTTCAAAACATCAAGCATTTTCTTGTTTTTCTTAGTTACTGTGTCATACAAAAAGGTACAAACCAGGCACCATTTTAATAAACATTCCTGTAGATTGTGGTGCATTGATATGTTAGAAGATTTTTAGCAAATGAAGACACATTTGTAAATCTAAGGCTTTGACATGTGTATTGGCGATGAAGTATAGTTTTGCTAATTATGGTTCCCTCAGATTTTCAGCCCTCAGTAATGACCAGTTTGTACATCTCTTTGAAGCAACCTCTGACACTGTTTTTTTGGTATTTCTGGCAGTTAAGACCTACAATTACTTTCAACAAGGTTCGGCACATTTGTACCAAACAAGTGAGATTCTCACAGTCAATTGTTAGGGTTCTGCCTGTTGTTTGGTTTATTTTTAGTTTCTCTGTAATTTCGTGTCTTTGCAGTTGCTTTCTGGCAGTGTTGTGTTTTTGTGTTACTCTCTGTTGCCCCCTTGTGCCAGTTTTCTTTTCCCTTGGCTCCCTTCTAGTCACTTCTATCCATACCTGCTCCATATTAGCTGATTACCCCAGTCTTTGTTGTGTCTCATATTTATACTCTCTCTGTGCAGTTCTTCAGTACTGGTGTCATGTTGCTTCAATGCTTAAATCCTCATGTGTGTTTCTACCTGGCATCTCCTGGTTTTTGCAGTGTTCTTGGATTTGTGCTTCTGTTGCCATTTACTCTCTATTAAATCAGGAAAACTCTTCTCTGCCTCCTCATCTCTGCATTTACGTCCTCAAAAAACCTCCACACAACCCGACATTAATATTGCCAGAAAAAAAAAAAGAATGTTCCTTATTAATTATTGATTTATGTTGTCAAACCACTCTTCAGCATTATTATTGCTTTCTTAATTTTTTTGTTTTATGATGTTTATTAAACTGGGGACATCATAGAGGAAACCAGGAACTTTAATGTCAACAGCAGGGGTTCATATGTTAGAATGCGTAAATTACTACACAACTTTAAACTTTTTTGCTAATAGAGATGCACCATGATGTATTTACATGTGGGAAGCACATGCTACAGTAACTAGCCTATGAACAGACATTGGTCATAATACACTGCTCAAAAAAATTAAAGGAACACTTTGTAATCATAGTATAGCATCAAGTTACTTAAACTTGTGGGATATTGATTTGGTCAGGTAAGTAGCAGAGGGGGTTGTTAATCAGTTTCAGCTGCTTTGATATTACTGAAATTAACAACAGGTGCAACAACGAGACGACCATCAAAAAAGGAATGGTTTTACAGGTGGAGGCCACTGACATTTTTTCCCCTCCTCATCTTTTCTGACTCTTTTTCACCAGTTTTGCATTTGGCTAGGGTCACTGTCACTACTGTTAGCATGAGGCGCTACCTGGACCCTACAGAAATGCACAGGCAGTCCAACCATTCAGGATGGCACATCAATACGTGCCAGAAGGTTTGCTGTGTCTCCCAGCACAATCTCAAGAGCATGGAGGAGATTCCAGGAGATAGGAAGTTACTCCAGGAGAGCTGGACAGGGCCGTAGAAGGCCTACAACTATTCAGCAGGACCAGTATCTGCTCCTTTATGCAAGGAGGAGCACTGCCAGAGCCCTACAAAATGACCTCCAGCAGGTCACTGGTGTGAATGTCTCTGACCAAACAATCAGAAACACACTACAGGAGGGTGGCCTGAGGGCCCAACATCCTCTAG